GATATCAGATTTTTTTCCCCCCCAATTGCTGGTATCAATTCCCAAAAATCCATCCTTATTCAAACCACCACTTTCTCGTTATTTCAGTCAACAACTCGTACATAAACACATTCATTTGGCCGGATGTGTTCAAAGCACAAACATAGCTCTGCAGTCTGTTTACAGCAGGGACCTTTGAGGATGTTGAGGATGAGGCTGAGGATGGTGCCGCCTGCAGGGGGTGGAGGTATGTACAGCTGATACTCTCCCAAAGGAACAGCCCACGCATCAGTCACTGTAACTCTGTACGACGCCAAGTCCTGCACCGTGAGCGTTCCTCCTGAACGAGAATTTCAAAAACAAATGGTTCTGCTGAGTGAAAATGCATCTGGGCTGAAAGTAATTGAGATTTTGAATGGATCCAGGCAGCTCACATTGCAGTCTGTGAAGGATCACTGCAGTGCTTCAACTGATTTCTTCATTTCTAATTAGATCACTGTGCCAGGCAGAGAGAGGACAGAGTGAGGTAAGAGAATATATCACAATACCTGCCTCCTGTATGTCTCGGATTAAATCCTCTGCCACTCTCCCAGTGTAGAAGATGTCTGCCCCGTGATTTGCAATCATCTCAAAGGTGTCGGCCAGTTTCTCAAACCTCACTATGTTGCCAGTCTTCAGCAAGTTCCCGTCCTTATCTGAAAATAACTTCCTGAAGGGCAAACACGGAGAAAGAACACATCACTCAGTTACAGGGACGGTGAAAGGTTTCATGATTGATGTTTCTGTGGGTGTGTTTCGTACCGTAGTGCCTGGGTCTCGTTCGTATCAACGTGTGAGATGTATCGACCCTGGATTGGAGGGATGGGAAACCCTTCCCTGGCCAGTTGGATGGTCGGCTGGAAGAGGGTGGCCCATGGCAACTTCCCATAAAGCCTGTGTGCCTGTTCGTATCCTCGAATTTCCCCTGGGACCCCAATCCACTGGCTACCTGGAGGGATAGAGATTAAGACAACCTTATTATTTCCAGAAGGGCAAGTTGTTACTAAGTCTAATTCATTCATGTGAAGGAATAAGAATAGATAAATTGGTATGGACAGATGGATGGAGGTCAATGGTAGAAATTTACATTTTTCACACTTTCAGGTACTTGTACTTGTGTTTATACAACATCTGCAACATTATACAGATTGTGATCCAACATTATTTCATATTAAGATTTAAATATAAAAAAACATAAATTGAAAATTAGGATACAAGAAGTTGGTGTGTTTTTTTCTCTCTCTCTTTTGACCGCGTTAATTATCTCACGACATTTACCTTTGGAGGGACCTGAACTTGAAGTTAAGATCCACTGGACAAAACCAAACTCCTCCACATCAACCCATGACAGATGTGTATTTGTACATTAATGTAATGCAATATTTATATATTTTTAAAACCAATAGGTTTTGAAAAACCTCTTATAAATAATCTTGATGGTGGATTGTGGATCCTGATCTTGGGTAGTGGTGGTGGATCATGATAGTGGTGGCGGCTGATCATGGACTATGACTACAACAAGATTGCTTGATATACATTATTTCTACTCACATGTTCCACCATTACTGGCAATACCTCCCTCATTTCAATTGTCATTTCTGCTCCTGTTATCTCTATCACACAATTTCTTATATATAAATGCTATATACATTGACACACCTTTCCATTGTGCTAAAACCAGTTTCTTCTAATCAATGTTGGTAATATTTTAATTGTGTTTCCTTACTTATTCTTGTTGGGGGTTTAGTAAATTGGGATTTGTGAAGGAGGGCTATACAAATAAAATTTGATTGATTGATAAATTGCTTTTTTTCTTTTCTCCAGTTCAATTCCATATTTCTTTTCAAATCACAACACACATTATCTCAAGGCACATCCCATTGTAAGATCATCTCCGTACAAAACCAAAGAAATAGTGTTCTCACAATGAGCAAACATTTTGCAATTGTGGACAGGGAAAAAATCCATGTTAACAGGAAGAAACCTGTGGCAGAACTAGAATCAGTGTGGGGCTTCTGCCTCAACCTGTTGGGTAAGTGGAGAAAAATGCATGAGGAAGGTGGGAAGGGGAAGAAGAAAGAGAGACCAGATTTTCTATATGATTCTCGTCCAACTTGTTTACATGTTTATGTTTCAGAAGGTTGGTTTATTCTTATGCATCATGTATGTTGTAAGTTTATCTTATATTTTGGCTTATTCCTCTTTCCTTTTGTCATTATGAGTGAGGACATTTTGGCCGGTCCTTACTTTCTGTCCCACCTTTAATGGAATGTTTGTGGGTGACGTCTTGGTTTTAGGATTAGGGTTAGAATAAGGTTTAGGTTAAGGGTTAGGGTTAGCTAGGGAATCTCCTCATGTGAACCATGCTGATGAGTGTGACATAAGGAGCAAAAATGTTTATTGTGGCCTCCTCCAGTGAGCATGCAGGAGCCCAGTGGCCCAGCGACTTAATATCTCACACAACAGCCTGAGCTAGAAAAACAAGCAAAGCCTCCCTGAAAAAGGAATCAGAAAGATAAACCTAATAGATGTCTTAATGTCAGAGTGCATTGGAGCGTACCTGACAGCAGCTGGAAGGTCTTGGGACATGACTTGAGCAGGTCAGGATTAAACTTCTGTGGTACGGTCTCTCTGGCGTTGATGATTTTCACTTTACCTAGAAGAGGACATATTAACTCCTCACCTCGGCAGAACAATAGCTGGCTCTGCTGTATTGCAGTGATGAATGCATGTGTGTGTGTTACCAGAGCTGTCCATCACAGTGAATATCGACCCCCCTCCCAGGCCCATACTCTGAGGGTTGACGATGGAGGTGCACAGCAGCGCAGCAATGGCGCCATCTACCGCTGAGCCCCCTCGTTGGAGGATGTCCCTAAAGGATTTCACACTTGATTACTGTCATTATCGCCTGATTTTAGTTCTGCTGCACATACCTGTCACACCAGGTAAGGTATGTTAGTTCTTCACCGGCTGGTCTTGTGTAATACACATTGCGTTTCCTTGGTAATTAGAGACTCCTCTTTGAGGTGTTCAAAAACAGTAAGTGGAGCATTTTACAAATGCAGCTTTAATGTTCTAATACTTCTGGAGAACAAAGAAAGAACAATATAAAACAAAAAATATGAATTTCTATTTATTCACCCACGTTTTGAATGTGTAGGATAGGTTGATCTTTGAAAAAGTACAAAGTGTGGCTGTTTGTTGTGCGTAAAGCGTGCGTAATTCTTAACCCACTGAGCAGAACAAATGATCCAGGTCGACACGAGTAATGTAACTCACCGTCCAATCTCTGAACACTTCCGAGAGTCTGCGGCCACTGCAGCACGTGAGAAACTCCCGACTGGACACTTGCGCCTTACAAATACAGCAAGACACACAATTAAGACGAGCGCGCAGAGCAGCAGCAGCGCGCAAATGTACACCCTCGCCTTTGACCTCGCCATGGATGAATGTAGCAGACGTCTCCGCGGGGCTCATTAAAGTTCCATCTTTCCAGGTTATCACTCCTGAACTATGAAAACTCCTCTGAGTGACTGACTGAGGTCGTGCCATCAGAGGGGGCGTGTGCACCGGACTGGTCTGACTCCGCCCTCAGTCTGGAGCTCCAAAGGAGGAATTGGAGGAGACCAGAGCGCCCATGTTGCGCACAAGTGGTTGTTATATTTGAGTGTTTATTACTCAACTTGTGAAACGTCCAATCAACTCAAGTATCAGGTGACAGGCATCGGGTATCCTCACATACTTCACAGATCAGAGTGAGACTCCTCCTTTAGGGCACTGCTAGAGTTTATCACTCCCAAACTTGGAATAGGTTATTCGTCTTTTAGTTCAGTTTAGTTTAGTTTAGTTTAGTTTAGTTTAGTTTTTGACTAACCTGGTGGGGGGGGGAATGGGTTTACATAGTTTCCATGTTGTTGTTTTTTAGCACAGCTGCAAATCACTCACTAAAAATCATCTTCCTATATTTGAATTGTATTTTTTTTTTTAATACACAAAAGTCCTCGGGGGGTACTTATCGAACTGTTATTATTATTAAAATTATTATCTGTCTTGTTTATATGATTTGATTTCTCTCCTGCCATAGATATCAGCAGCTGTAGGCGGGAAAACAAAGGTTTGATTTAAAAAAAATATAGAATCTGTGTTAATTCCCGGGGTATGGATACACATTATTATTATTATTATGATGGTTGTTATTATTATTATTATTATTATTGCTATTATTGTTGTTGTTGTTATTATTATTGTGATTATTGTTATTATACCAAACCGATATGTGTCAGATCATTCTACACACAGACCAGTCAGGGAAACTCAGACTGATCCTCTGTGCCATGGTTATCATTAAATCTTTAGTCTTCACTTCACTTCACTGCCATGGGGGGGGGGGGGGGGGGTAAGGTCCCCAGCATGTGGTCTGTAGTTGGACTTTTCTGTGTTCAAATGTGTTGACAATGTTGTCGTGTCATAAACTATCATCATCAAACTGCTGCTCTGTGACACTGCGGGCGAAGCCCAAGAGAGCCGCACGGCATCTTGGGAAATGCTGTCTGCAGTCGCGTCAAACGATGGGTGAGCCACGAGACACACGGAAGAGGGAGGCTGTCATCTGAGTCAAGTCATCCAAAGAAAACCACAGCTGTACCGGATATAAGGTAAAACTGCCTTCAAAATAAAAGAATGAATATACCACAGTTGGCTGTCAGTCTTAATTTGTAGGCTTTTAGTTGTGCTGCATTTTCATTGTATATATATATATACAATGAATAATATAATATATATTGTCATAGAGTACACATCATATACATTTGATGATTTCTGTCATTTTAGGTTGTTCTTATCACAATGATATACGTCCAAGTGCTCATTTTTGGTGAATTGGGTTTAATTGAGTTATTTGATGCTATGAAAATGAGGTGAAACATCATGATTGACAGCTGAGACGTTTGGTGGAGCGAATGTTTCAAGGGCATCTCTCTACAGCAACTCCATGCACAAGATGGCAGCGTTCGTTACTGGGATATTTTTGGCTTCATTTCTGGATAGTGTGAGGAAGTAGAGATGCATCGTCCATTTTTATGAACAGTCAATGGGCTACACCAGGTAAAGTAAGTGAATCCTTATTAGTGTTAATAGTTGAGCAGCCACAAGCACAAACAAATTTGTGTCATCAACATTGTCCCAGTGACCTGGTCACTCAAATCAGTTGGGATATTGGCAATTGACTTAAAGCTATTGTTAATCCTGGAAGTTAGCGTGAGCAGGCTACACTGTGAAAATATGTAACCACTGTCTCGTCAAAGCTACGCCTCCAAAACACATGCACCGGCTAATAACTGGTAGATATTGATGACTATCGGAGGTGAAAAGGATTTCAACAAATATGAAAAAAAAGCATTTCCCAAAAAATCAGAAAGCCTTCCTTTAATGGTGCACTCCACTTATTTCACATAGATTAATTGAGTTGTTGTAAAGAATACTTTGCCTCTCCTGGACTGATTTTGACCATTATATTTAACAGTCTACCTCTTTGTTTCAGTTTCACTTTCATTGACATGACTCACTAACTTGTTGAATGAATCATTTTGAGTCTCTTAATATCTATTGTGTCGAACATATTCCAGCTTGCATCTTGAACTTGTTGCACTGTGGTCTTGTATGGAGGTGGGAGGTGCTTAGACTTCTGTCACTTCCTTTGCATTTTGCTGAAGGATTTCAACCCCTGCTTGACCATGACGTCTATTTTGAAAAGGTGCGACTGGAAGTATCGTTGCATGTTCCTCTGGCCTTGACTCTGGGTGGCTTCCTCCGGTGGAGCTTGACTATTTACAACAATATAATGTGAAGCCTATCTGACGCTGCCGTGCAACACAAACAGGCAGACTGGGAGTCAACCCGTCGGTAGGACAGCTTTTTATTGTTTTCCCTCCAGAATACGATGCGTGTCAGCTCCACTCGGGACTTCTTTTGTGCGTTTTCCCTATAATGTTGGCAAGTGATCGTCTGCTGTGTGCACTGCAGTGGTGCGCAGCTTCGCCTGGAGAAACACCTGTGCGCCTCTCCTCTCCACCGGCCACAGCCACGAATGTTGAGTAGGTATGGATCCTGCAAACCTGTGCACCAATCCATCCACGAGGGAAACGTGGAAACCTGCTTGTTTATCGTGGGTTATTGAGCGTTACAGCTCACCCATATTTGTGGCCAGCACTTTGTGTGGCACCATGGCCCCTGGGTGCAGCAGCTCCAGTGGCCAGGCCAGATTACATGGAGGGAGTGTTGGAGGAGTAAAGCCAATAGGTGTGTGCGTGCTTGCGTGTGTGTGTTGGCTTCATGGTTGTGTGTGATGGTTCTAAAATGCAGCGGGAGTGTGTGTGTATGGAGGGGGGGGGGATATGTGGGGGCGTCTTGGAGCTGTTAGGCAGGATGTGGGGGAGGATCTATTGGAGCAGGATTGCCCGACCATTTTTGGTGAGGGCGCACCGTGGAGCTCTGATCACAGCTGACGCATTGCTCTTCCTCGCGTTTTGGCTGCTGGTCCATTACCATTATATAATCGCAACCATGTAATCCAGTCTGTATTTGTTACTGAGGCAGATTACACAGACTACCACCTCCCACCCACCCTATCCATCCGACCCTCCCCTGAGGATCCAGTTATGCAGCTTCTGTTTACAAAGCTATGAATGCTAATTAAATATAACGTGGGTGGGTATCAACACTGTTTATGTTTACTAAATGCTTAGTTTAGTGCGTGTGCACGGGGGGGGGGAGATGTGTGTTAAATGCAGCACTGTTCCCGTGACTCATGGTTTTACACAGTGCAGCACAGGGATGTGTGTGTGGAGAGTTGAAATTCAAATAGTCTCCAAAGTGTGTGTGTGTGGTTTTACAGGTAGTTTTACATGTGGTGCACATAGGATGCTGTCAAACCCTGAGCAGCAGCAACGTTTGTTTTCACAGACACAAAGTAAAAGTGTAAATATGTTCCTACATATGACTTCACACAACATCAAGCATTAGTTTTCCAGCATTAAGATCAATCTCATCACTCTTGTGATTTAACTCTTCTCAGTTACAATCGTCCTCTTCCCCTCTCATCCCCTCTTTTTGCTCCTTCTGTCTTTGTTTTCCAGAGAACTGATCACCCTAAGGCGCGGTGTCTGTCTGCATTTGTCTGAGAGAACGAGAGAGGGAGCAGCACAAATGCCGCACAGCCAGACACCATGCAAGGAGAACGCTTCCCTCACTGCAGAGTGTTGAAATGTTAGCACTGAAGAGCGAGTGTGTCAGATCAAATCAGCAGACTTACGTTTACATTCGGCGGGGCGGTGATAAGAGCTGCTTGACACCAGACCCACTAACGCCCTGTGTGCAGTTTAAGGCCCCTTACAGTTGCGATCAGGAAAATCAAGAAAAGACGTGTTGACTCTTCCATCAGCACTTTTTGTTACCCTTAACGTCAGATTCAGCAAACGAGAAACGAGCCGAGATGGAGTGGTCGCTGGAGAGTGTGAGGGAGATGGTGGCCGGAGGGATGCAGTCTGTGAGGGAGTGTGAGATCTGTGCTTTTGCCATAGCCATGTGCGTGCTGCTGCTATTCATGTGGTATTGTTACAGGGTGGGCCGGGAGCACGGCTCGAGCCCCCTGCGTGGGAGATATCTGGCCGGGCCTGGCCGGATTGGTGGCGTTGTGGGGGGCTTCATGAGCTCAGACTGTCGTGGCAGGGGCAAAGGGAAACATGGACTAATGCTGGAAGAGCAGAACGGTTTCGCATTCTGCCAGTCGTCCGAGTGTTTCCGCTGCACCAGCGCTGGGGAAAGCCTGAACCAGAGGCTCTACCACAGCCTGCAGGATTACGCCAAGCGCTACACCTGGTCAGGTATGGGCAGGGTGCACAAAGGAGTCCGCGATCAAGGCCGCTACCTTAATAGCCGACCAACTATCCAGCGGCCAGAGGTCTTTTTTCTGCCAGACCTGCCGTCAGCACCTTTTTTCTCCAGGGAGATACAGAGGCATGACGTGGAGCTGCTGGAGCAGAGCTTCCCTGCCCTTCTGGCTGAGTTTGAGAGCATCTACCACCAGCCTCCGGCCCGCAGTGGCTCCCCTCTCCCGCCGGGTTGGAAGGTCAACAGCACTCCCCGCGGGCAGTGGTGGACCTACTACCTCGTTAACCAAGGCACCCCTCTGGTTCTTAATGTGAGGAGATGTCCGCGGGCGTGGAGGGTGCTGGGACAGCTGCGAACCTTCATCGCCAACAACGTGTTCGGCAACGCCTGCTTCTCTGTGCTGACGCCTGGAGCTCTGATCACTGAGCATTATGGTCCGACGAATGTCAGGCTGCGCTGCCACCTGGGTAAGAGAGTGAAGTGTTACTGATTCTGCCATGTGATGTGTCAGGCATCGAACGGAACACAACAGCAGATGATTTCAATAATGAGAAGAGGAGCAGTGAGTCAGCTGCTGTTGAGTTTAAACCGAGGGAAGCACATGGGTGAAGATAAGTTTAAGCAAATTAACAATTTTCTTTTCATTGCACCTTTGGATATATATGCCTCTCTACTCTGTAGTTTATTGTGGTGTAGATAGTACATATTGCAGGAAGCTTTAATTCAGCACAGTATAATGCAGGCTTTAAAGGTTCAGTGTGTAGAATTTTGTGACATCTAGTGGTGAAGTTGCATGTTGCAGCTGAATACCCCTCACCTCACCCTCTCCTTCCAAACATGAAAGACAACCTGTGGTAGGCTTCAGTTGTCATAAAAACTCAAAAGGTGTTTAGTTTGTTCAATTTGGATGACTCCGTAGAGAGGACCCACTACCGATAAAGTATTGAAATATAAAGGACCTATTCTAGGGTAAGGAAAACAACAATTTGTACAATTTAGATGAAAACGTCACTATAATTGTTTTACATTCAATTTCTACCCATAGATCTTTTTCACCTTAATCTTACACACTGAACCTTTAACAAAACATTTTTTGAGGGATGTGTCACATGTGAGATTGGTTAGCAACACAAAATGCCTTGTATCTAGTCTGACCCACGGATGGACTGCTTTTTTTTTTCTTTGGCAGGTCTCAGAGTTCCCCCTTCCTGTGAGCTCGTGGTCGGTGGAGAGCCACAGTGCTGGTCCGAGGGCAGCTGTCTGCTTTTTGACGACTCCTTCCTCCACAGGGCCTTTCACGAGGGTAAGAAGGGATTACAAGGGAATCTTTATTGCACTCTGCCCCTTTTTTTTAACTTATTCCTTGAAGGAGGATTGACCTAAAAAGGCTGTTATCCAATCATTTTTAGGTTTTTTTTAATACAAGTCTGATATTGGTTCCAGTTCAAAACAGTGACAAAACAAGGTTCTTGATTCTTCTTCTGCTGTGTTTCCCTGTGTGTTTGCAGGTGGTGCAGATGATGGCCCCAGGGTGGTCTTCATGGTGGACCTGTGGCACCCCAACGTGGCCGCTGCTGAGAGACAAGCCTTGGACTACATTTTTACTCCGGGCCGTTTAGAGGACAGGGAAGGGAAATAGGTGTGAGTGAGGAACCATGTCCAAGCGAGAGACGGATGGCCTTTAGAGAGGTGTCTGTAGGATTGGGGAGCAACTCTTCTTTTTTTTTTCTCTCTCTGCCTCCAGACCAGCTCTCACATTCACTGTGTACATACAGTATCTGTCATAACTCTTCTTAGCAGATGACGAAACATTGGGCCTCCTTTATCAATCATACTCATGTTTTTGCCTGTATACTGAAAGACAGCCACATGGGAACGTACTCCAAACTTTAGCAGGTGCACAACAAACATTTTACTTCAGTGTATTAAAACCATAGCAGAGACATGTTAGGTTATTTCTTTCATTGGCGTTTGTTTGTTAGTTAGCAGGATTACACAAAAACTACAGAACCGATCTCCATGAAATTTTGTGAAGGGGTGGGGAGTGACCTAAAGAAGAACCCATTGAATTTTGATGATGCTCTGCAGTTTATACGGACTTTATCCGTAACCTAGCATAAACTCTGTAGATATCCAGGAGAATTCAATCCGTAAGTACAGCAGGGGATCTTCCATTGGATTAACCACGAGTGAGTGGGGGAGTCAATGGTCCTTCTAACACGCGACAGGCGCAAAAAGAAAAAGAAAACAAATATACATCTATGGGTTTGTGGTGATAAGAGCTGATGGCTGTGCTGTAAATATGATCACGTGATCTCTGTAGCGGAGTTAATACGTCACTTCATGTCTCTGTCAGCTGCACCTGGCTGCTCCACCTCTCTTCTGAATAATGCGGGGGATTTGATGCTGTTGTGAACACATCCATGCAGAAAACCTCCCGCTGTGTTGTGCATGTGTGAAAGGCAGTCTCTGGGTAAACTCCATAGCCAATTCTCCAGATTTTACCCAGAGGTCATGTCTGAAAACAGCTTATGAGGTCCATAGGCTAACCCACTCTACAGTATTCGCTTTACATGAACTGCAGTCATCGAGCTAACCTTTATGTGCCCTGACCTCCTACCAGGCAACAGCACATGACTTAACTACACTAAACATCTTGTGGTATTGATTCTTTTACTCAGACATATCTATCTACACCTACATACATTTTTGCAAGGGCTAAGATATTTGATCATTCAACTTTTTACATGAATCAACATATCCAGTCCCACTTCAATTTAACATTTCGTGTCTGACAAAGACTCAACTGTCAGTGGGTTAGAATATTTTCATTTCAGAACAAACGAACAACAAATTTTTGCCTGCTTACAGAATGTATATTTTCAGTGATTGTAGCTTACATGATGTATTTGTGCAAAAGTAACACTGAAGGACTGATACAGGATGATTAAATAAATCAATGCGGGATGTTTGTTTCAGTCAGATTTCGAGCTTGGTTTTTTACAGGCTGTACAGTTTGGGATTTTAAGACATTCTGACTAAACTGGCGACTGCAGATAGATCTGTTGTTCGCAGTGGTTACAATGACATGCTCCTGTGTTAATCATTATTAAGGCAAACAGATTTCATCCACATGTGGTTTGATAAGTGAGGTCCAATCCAGTCGTGACATGAATGTTTCCAGACGTCTCTGTCTCGACGACTCCTGCTGCTGTGGTAGTTGATTGTGCTCCCCTTTGGAAAAGTCAGCCCTGCTTTCTCAAGACATGGTTAGAGAAGCACATTTTTAGGTCCAACTGTGTGAGTCGGCCTGTGCTGTGTCACTGGAAATGAAGTGTTTTTGGTAAATTTACTAAACTCTTGTAATTTGCTTGTATTTGATATCAGGTTTGTATTTCTGTACATAGGGTCGAGTTAAAAAGAAAAAAAACTACTGAACAGTCTGAGATGTTTTGAAATGATTGTCTTCAATGCTATAACTATTGTGTTGTCTTGATTTTACAGCTGAAGTGATGGCATTTTCATTCTCCGTTCTCAAAGAGCCAACCATGAGATCATTTTGATAGATTGAATTTGTAGATTCTGTAAAATGTTTATGAAGTATTATCTCCGTTGTTCTGTGATGTTTTTTTATTTCAGGACTCTGTAATTTTTGCAGCGCCACGCGTTGCCCATTGTTAAAGCCACAACCCTTGATTCTTCGACAGCACTTAATGGGTGTTCGTGCACAGTGTAAAAGGTAGAGAAAATTCATCTTTAGCAGCTTTACAAGTCCACTGCAATTCAAGATAATCATGGACTCAATGCCAATGTTTACAGAAGCACGATCATTTTCAAGTTGTTTACAACATCGGACGACATCGACACTCACATTGAGCTGTCCATACCTACTGTAGATTTGAAATCAAGAGTGCTGTAAATCCACTTTAGACGATGAAATCTGTCATTCCGAAGCATTTGCTTTATAGTATATGATGGGGCAACCATATTGTTTACATTTGGATTAAAGATTTGTGCTTTAACACAGTCTTGTGTGGATTTTGAACAGTATTTCTGTACATTTAATAAATGGTATCTTATCTAACCAGCTGTTGTCAGAGGTGTCACTTGTACACAGAACAAGAGATGTGGACATCACATGGTACGATCTTAATCTATAACATTCTGCTCAATGAACCATTTCAGAAGGAAAAAAAAGTATTTTGCAAAAATGCTACTCTGGTATCGACGATACACTTTTCCATTTTAAGCAAGAGGACAAAATAAATTGTGTTGCTTCCTCTCAGCCAGATGTAATTTAGTTGCAGTGGCACAGGGAGGCGTAGGCATGCAACCATGCTGTCACTGCTCTGTTTTTTCATTATAGCAGCAGTTATTTTCTGCCAGGTCTTTGTAGCCTCAGCATGGGAAGCATTAAAATGCTGAGACAATAAGAACATCACATAAACAAAATCAGTAGGGTCATTGTGACTTCATGGGATCATAAAGAATACACGCACAGGTTCAAGTTTAGTGCTGCATCTGTCTCCACAGCCAAGGAGAGGGATTCCTGACACAGCATCAGCATCCTTCACTGTATGAGAATCTCCAATGGTATGTTCCTGTCTCCACATCTGTGATGGATGAAGACACATGTTGACATGATGCCAATAATCACCAATAATAACAGATATAGGCTCACTCATGCAGGAAGACAGTAGTGGCTGTATGTATAGACTGCTTGCTTTGTGGACACAGAATTGTTTTTGTTGCAGCTGTTGAATAATCAAAGTAAACAATAGTAGTTATTCTTAGATCACTGCCTTGAATCCAGAGTGAAGCCTTCTGTTTATTTGAAAGAGAGCAAAACACTACGTGTCATCATCAGTGCACCAGAACCTTTCTGCATTTTGAAAAGACATTTCATGTAGTATAAATATTCTAACGCATCATAATAATGTGAAAATGTGATTCATTCTCAACCTCAATGCACACTATTCACACAACTTGACGGGCCCCACAGCTGACATAGTGAAAATTTGTTTGACATAATTTGATTCAAATGCAGGTGAGCAGTGAAGCCAGTATCACAACCTGTGAAATCCAATAGTTTGTGTTGTATTTCAATAATCAGACTGGTGTTTCTCATAGCAGTCTCATGATACAATCACAAAAATAGCCAATATTGAAAAAATATCATTCAGTTTTTTAATGCCACATCACTATGGGACCACAAAATATGCAATGGTATGTGCTTGGAGAATTTGAATTGAGTAGAATTGTGTGTGTGTGTCTGAAAAGAGAGCTTTTCCCAGTTTTTCGCTAGGCCCAGTCTCCCTACATTAAAAGATTTTGGTCATTTGATTATTATTTGAATTTTGATTATCAATCAGATTATGTAGAGAGACTTCTTTGAGTTGTTTTACTGCAAGGATGGGTTGACAGTTTTTGTTATGTTTGGGATGTTGCTCTGTTTGGTTGTTTTTTTGCCAGGGATGTGCATGGGGTCAGATCAGCAGGTCATGATCACGTCTCGGAGAAAGGAGGAGCTGGGCAGACTCAAGGTGACCTGACTAAAATGTGTATTATATTCAGGTTGTTGCATTTATCTTCTGTGTTTTTGCAGATATATTGAATTGAGAGGTCAGCTGTAGCCCAGAGTACTAACTCGGTCTTTGGATCGTAGTGTTGATTGTGGTTTCTGTACTTGTCTTCCTGTTAAGCCCAGCCTATACTTACCAGGGCAGGTAGGTTCAGGCGGCCGAGGCTGCAGTAAATGCCAGTCAGTATGAAGGGGGGAGAGAGGAGGTGGCAGTCTGCTGTGAGGCAGCAGTTTTTTCTTAAAACATTTTCACCTACTCCTGCCTGAGGACCTGCTTCTTCAGTATTCCCTTTTTTCAAATTTTCAGTGCCAAATAACATCCTCCACCCCTTTCTATAGGGTTGCAGCACAGTGTCCCTTGACCATACACATATGTGCATAAGCATTGTGAGCAATATACAGTGACACCACTAACTCTTGCACATATAAATGAAAAAAAAATACATTTCTGTTAGACCTCAACAGACCTCTGTAGTTGACGGGTTCCTCTGGGCCTCCACGTTGCAAAGTGAGAAACTCTCATTTCATTCAAATGGAGGTGAGCAGTGAAGCCAGAATCACACCAGCCTCTCAAATCCATTAGTTTGTGCTGTAGTGGTTTTTTAAACACATGGAGATGTTGCTATAATTGTTACAGTTAATTGCAGTGGATAGGTCACTGGTGTTCTCATATTTTGTCCACCAGGAGGACAACAATGACACACAGCCTGTAATTGATCATGCCACATGTTGGAACTAAAAAATGAACAGTTGCTTTAGGCCAGTAGGGTTTGAGTGAAGTAGAATTCACTCTTTCCTGACAAAGACGGGGTTGGATATTATTGATAGTATTGATTTCCATCATTCTTGTATGGAGAATGTGTCCTTACAGAATCAGACTGCTGTATTTGTTTCTGCTTAAGATTCCAGCTCATACATGAGTTGGACAAATGTCCACCTCCTGTAGTGTTTATCTAATGGGTTTATCTTTGTCATGGGGAAGTTTCCCGACCACTGGCAGGCTACACCTTACTACCGTCTACACCCACGTCACAGAGACGAGCATCCACATCAATGAAAAGGTGACGCGCTCTGCAGCGACGTGTTTGCTCCGCTGTGTGTGCGCGCTCCGGCTGCGCTGCTGCTGCTGCACAGCAACCAGGTGGAGAGATGAAGCCCAACTCAGCAGAGAGCAGACCGACGATGGAGAGGAGAATGATGGAGGATCAAMCCACCGAGACGGAATAGAACAGATCCGCAGCTATGAGCTCCTCTTTCCCAAAATCTGAATCCACGACCTCCTTGTTGAAATCGTCCGCGGCAGCGAGGAGACCGACACACCTCCCTGAGCGCACAGCAGAGAGCCGGAGAAGTCAGCATCACCACCCGCAGCACCAGCACCACCACCGTCCCGTCGCCGCGCTCCGGAGCAGCATCAGCAAAGCCGAGGAGTCCTTCTGGTCGGCCGAGTGCGACGTCAGCGCCCGGAGACCCCTGTGCCACCCGTCCCTCGTCGACAGCCAGGACAGTAGTGATCACGCAGCTACTCGGGACAAGTGCAAGTCTCATGCCCCGACCCACAGCCAAGTTCCCGACCCGCCAAACAGCGGCGAGGCGGGCCGAGGTGTGAGGGAGCGCTGCAGGTCCTCCAAACCCACACACCGGCACCACCACCGCAGGAAGCACACCCGGGAGGACCGTCCTCCAGCGGCAGGGGAACCCGAGCCCGAGCATCCCCGTCGCTGTCACACTCACAGCCGCCCGGTCCCCAGGGTGCCCTCGCTTTCGGACAGCAACGACGACAGGGCTCCTCTCTGTGAGCCGAGGGACCGTCAGGGGGCCGGTTTGGCCAACAGGGCAGGAGGCCAGGTCACCAGTCCCTCCCCGTCCTCCTGCTCCCTGGTCCCGCTGTCCAGCAGGTCATCCCGTCGCTCCAGGAGATCCAGTGCTGCTTCTTCTGCATCCGATATCAATTTACGCACCATCCTCAATTCACTCTTTGGACAGGTAATGGAAATAGAGACATTAATGTACACCTACACCACTAAATGTTGAAAGGATCAAATCATCCTTCATAGTTTCAGTTATACAGTTTTAAAGAGTTTGAAGTGCAGCTCCTGGGAGCTTCGTGGCCCCTGACAAGCTGTGGTAGTGGCACCCCAAACCCAAATCCTCTGCATGTAAGAGCCTATATTCTATTGGTTTAATGAGAGGGGTTACCACAGAGACCATAAGGTGTATTTGGTAAGGCAGGCTTAATCTAAAAAAAACCCATCAAATCCATTATGTTCACCAGGCTTCCCCTGCAGAAGTGCTCTGCTGAAAATATAATGCTTTGTTACGGTAACTGGCTTCAATGACGTTTCCAATCAATACACGCCACTGTGCTTTGTGATGCAGTCTGCATAAAACTGTCATCACCATATTGATGGATTATATAGACAGGGAAAAGCTTCTTCTCTACACATTCATTTCTTATATAATTTGTAAATACAGCACTACCTCCTACAGACCTCGGCCAGTCAGCCGTTCCCTAGATGTGATGGGGCATTTTAAAATGCTCAATATCACAGAGGTGCAAATCTCTGATGTGCTAATGTGTATTTGGTGAAAAACAGAGATGTTTATTCATGTTCCTGCATCATCACTGCAGCAATTGTTGTGGTGTGTTTAGAGGAAATCACTTTGATGCTCACGTTGGTGATGGAGGGATCTATTTTGAGCCTGCTGTCTATTTATACATAAGAAATAAGTTCCACTTAATATGCTTGGGCTGGTATCAGTGATGTGGATTTGCATAATTTTACCTCACAGAGCTCAGGTCTGCAACCAATTTCAATTTTACATTACAAATCCCCACAAAGCTCCACCATGTGGCATTGTGTGTGGTGTTTGGATTTTAACCTGATCCTGAATGAGGAGGTTATTTACAGATTTGAGAATTAGGCATCTATCAGCTATGGGATCACTTGAAGCATCTATTGTGGCTTCGGGGAAGAAAATCCTCCAGTACTTGTAGAATGAATGACTATACTCTACAAATATCCCATGAGTCAGTGTGTGAGCAGCTCTGTGAAAACATTAGAGTGACCTGTAAAAGGTCTTTGATGAGACAGAGATGGAGAGGAGGTCAATGATGGGCAGGAATGTAACACCTGGTTTTAGAGATATATACGCTTTGCTCTGCCTTTGGCATTTTGTCTAAACAATGCATTCAGAGCAAACAGGATTTTTTTCCTCTGGCTGCAAGTGGTGGCTTCACTTGCCAAATGTGAACAGATGGTGATCGACTACCTTGAATCTAATTTTGATTTAAACATATGTGCAAACATACACGGATTTAAAAAATCTCATACATAAACAGACTGCAGAAGCTGTATTGCTGCCTCTCACAGTCTTCATGTTGGTGCCACGGGGCTGCTGTAGGTCATGGTGACCTTGTCTTTGACTGCAGAGGGCACAGGATGATGTGTGTGGCGCAGGGGAGTGAGGCGAGAATAACAAATGCATGTGCAGATGATTTGAGAACAACACGGGGATTCAAGATGCAATCTCTGTCCAGCCGTCCATTATCTTTGCACTTATCCTTTGAGGGTTGCAGGGGGAGGGCCAATCCCAGCTGACATTGGGCGAGATGCACCGTGGACAGGTTGCCTATGTATCACACAGCCAACACAGAGACAAGCAACCATTCACACACTCACCCCTACAGACAATTTAGACTCTCCATTAATGCTTCATCCCCTAGGTTTCAAATCAAGAACCTCCTTGCTGTGACGCAGCAGTGCGTGCCAGCCGAATGCAATCTCAAGGTTGCAAATTGGTATGTGAAAGAGCAGGTGAGGAGCTGGAAATAGGTCATTACATAGTGTTCTTGTAAACTTGCCTGCTTCCGATTTTCATACAGCACAAACACAGCAAATACGTGGTAGTATGTGTGTGTGTTTGTAACCCTGGGGTAAAAGGTTTCTGGTGCAGTTTTGTGTGTATATCCCTGTTGGAAAGATGACAGCAGCTGTGGCTGAGATGTACAGCGGTTGTTGTCGGTTCGATCCCAGTCTTTCCCATCTGCATGCCGTGTGTTTTCAGGCAAGATACTGAACCCTGAACCCTCGTAGAAAAAATTGTGCCCATAGATGCACTGTATGAATATGTGTGAATGGGTGATTGGCACTGTATGCACTTTTGAGTGTTCAAGACTAGGAAAGCAGTGTATAAAACACAGACCATTTACCATTTATCACATCCCTCTTGTTTATTCTGATGTGTGGTGTCTGCGATGCTTTGTTGAATCGTCTGTGTCGTTCACAGATACGCTACAACAGTTTGGTCAGTGTGACAGTTCGGTGAAATATCCCACAGACGCTCAACCTCTTTTCCTTTAATAGGCATACTTCATGCTTCACTTCCCTCTCTCATTTACTTTCTCACTCTCACTCTCACTCCTTCTCTCCCTCTCTCTCTTTGAGTGTCACTGGCCACGCTTTGCTTATACTTTCATTTACACCAGACAGTGAAGTTCACAGTTGTTTTTTTTCTATCAGCTGCAGGTTAGCACCCCGGGCTTCATGGGTCTTGCTGAAACCAGAGTTTTTACTCCTCTAAAAACCCAAACTGCAAACTTGACGGAGAAAAAGTCCTCATGGTCCTTTTTAGTGTGTCTTTTCTCTCTTGGTATGGGAAACTGCTTAGACTGGCCCCTGAGAACGGTAAGACTGTTTTCAGTGTGATATACTGATGTCACACTCTGTCTCTCTCAGTTTTGGATTTTATTGCAGGTTTAAAACTAAAGTGGTAATAAAACTTACAGTGGTGTATGAGTTTTTGTTTTGTCGTTTTGCATACTTTTTTTGCATACTTTGTGTTTTGCAACCAGCTGTTTTCCACCTCTGCTCAAGCTTGTGTGGATGTTGCCGAAGTTAGGTCCTCATACTGCCACATTCCTATAGAAGATTTAGAGGTTATTTGTCCGTATGTGTGTTTTTAATGATATCCACTCAGAGCCTTTACAAAAATATTTTAAATCAGCGTTTGTTTGCGTATGTTTTTTCATGACACTACACGTTACTTTATAATGACTTGAAACTTATTCTGCCACCGTGCTGCTTGTAAATGGCTTCAGTGTATTCAGTTGACCTTGTGTTAGATCAATGGCTTCAGCTCTTTTTGTGCAGCACGCACTATTTTCTCAAAAGGAGAAGAAAATGTTTCCTAATGTCTTCACAGAATCATGTTTTTTTTTCTGTGACAACACGCGGACACATGTAGCCAGTTCCCCTGTGCTTATGAGCTTGCTTTATCGGAGAATGTTTACTGTTCCAGTGACACTGTATAGGTGTGAGTTGCCAGTTCGCACGTCACACATAAACAGTTGTGAACAATGAGTGGAAAGTTGGCAATGTGCCGCTTTATCGATGTATTTCAATTTCTGCCTGGTTTTTGTATTCCTAACATTGCTTCATATACAGTTACACAACACACACACACTGTCCTGAAGACTTACTCTAACCTTCACTTAGGAGGTTAAGTGTCCCCATAATGTGACTGTGTAAACCTCACAACATGAATAATATCTGGACAACACACAAGACCTTACAGAGAGAAATGAGTTGACTGTCACACGTCCTCCTCTCTCAGTTTGCAGCTTTATTCCATTCTGTTCTGAAGCCTCTACAGATCTCTAACTCCGTCTCCCCCTCTGGAAAGATGCTCCAGGATGCTGAGAGGAGACTCAGAGGGGTGGTGCCCTGTGAGGAGATGGGCCATGCAGGGTATCTCTGGCCTTATCAGGAGTCCATTGTTTCCATGACACAAAACTGTGTTCTCGTGAGCAACATACTGGGACAAACCTGTGTCTTCCTGAGTAAAGGCGTGGCCAAGTGCAGGCAGACTGTACGTAAGTCTGGACAAAACATCCTTTTTATATCTACTTCTTCTCTGGGTTGTTGCGGCCCAATTTTCCATCACTAGTGCAGTGTCTGCTCTTCAAACGTCTTTGACTTTAGTGACTCCTCTTCAAACAGTTCTACAATACACTGTCACTTTTAATTGTTTGTGTGCAGAGCTTTTTAAAAACAATCTGTATTGGAGAGTGAAGTTAGAAACGTTGTGTTCATCCTACATGGTTTATCTGCAGGGAAGCTTTTAAAGCACTTCTTTATTCCTGTACAAGTGTGTGGTTTATATATATGTTTCAATGATTCACTTAATTTGTGTAAATTTTTCATATGTTGCACCTTTGAATTCATATATTTCAAAGGTCTGTCAAGCATTCGACACAATCTTCAGACCCTTGTTCACAATTTTTCAAAATAAATCAGTTTTTCAACTTGATACAAAGCTTTATGCTTTTACTTTGAAGATAAATAGTCAAATACGGGTCATTTACTGATGTAGTTTATCAGAGGATGTCGAGGAGGACATGTTCAACACAGTCCACATACTGACTGTTAGCACTGCCCTGCCCCAACTGACTGCTGGTCGCCTGTTTATTCAACTAATCAATATTGAATGTATCGCAGGTCCAAATTGCACCAAGTTTGGCACTGCACTTCCCTGGGCAATTAGCAATACACATGCCAAGTAGGATGTCGAAGAATGGTTTGCAAGATGTGCGCTCCACACACAGACGTTTGTGTATATTAGTGGGTCTATTATTTCTTACGACTTCCACTCTTGCTGCTTGTGACTGGTATCCTGCCATCTGCCCGTGAAGGGAACACAAAGGTTTGGAAAAGAAAAGAGCCTAAAAGTTCACAAGTGACTGCAAATGTGTTTAGGACCTTGTGAACAAATGCAGTGCACATGAATGCAACAGGGTTCATTGCAGAAGTAACACGCGGTACAGCACTGGTTTCCAACCTTTTTAGCTTAAACAGGTCAAACAGTGCAGCGATGCAGATTCAGCAATGCTTTGCTCCACTGTTCACCTCTCACAGATTTACATATATCTTTAATTGTATAGTAAGTGCATAAAATACTAAAGAAATAAAAAGTTTTGGGAAGTACACTTTTTTGCCAAGATTTACATGAGAGGATCGATAACACTCACATGTCTATAGTAGCCAAGCTTTGTTCAAAGACCAGTGGATTCAGTGGATTTGCATATTGCCCACAGACAGTGCAGTATTTTGAGTAGATATTTCAGTGGTCTGGATCTTGTCAGTATAAATTTCGGTGGATGATGAACCGGCAGTGATGTATGGAGGAAGTGCTGATGGTGTTGAGCATGCATGCATGCAGGACTGACTGGATATTCTGGATCTTCAGGTGCCTTCTCCTGTGGTTTCTATCTCAGAGGTTCCGGTCAGACAGTTCCTCAAGGCTGACGTCAGCACCTCACTGTTGTGTTTAGACGTCTCACTGCTCCTGCTGTTAACCCCTGAGGGCTCTGGGATTTGTCTGCCTCTCTTTCTGCCCTTTAAAGGTTGTGCTCATCGTAAGCAAGCACTGTAAAAAAATAGAAACGGCCACATTCTTCTGTAAACTGTGAGGGTTATGGTTCCCAGTCCTTCTTGATAGGAATTGGACGATTTATACATGGGGGTTTTGTCATAAAGATGTGAGATAGTTCCAGTTAACATCTTTTATCGTTGATTGTCCTCACATTGAAGTTCACAAAACAACGACAAGGACTGTTATGGAGAAGGCTGCCGATTTAGGTCTGGGCATCACTCGAGTCGCAGCGTTGTCGGGGGTATGTTTACATGATACTCATATATAAATTGTACGAGTGGGTTTTTTATGATGTGTGATTATGGCGACTGCCTTTGTTTCTGTGCTGACCAGTGATCGAATGTCATTTCATTACAGGACAGAGAGCTGCGGCCAGAGGAAATGGATGGTAGGTTTCACCTTTACTGAAGTTAAGCACTCAAACAAAATGTTTTGTAAAATTATTGCTTTACAGTTTTGTCAAAGCTCTTCACAGAACAAACGCAGAGGGGAGACAAGTTTTAAGTATTTACATGTTGGTTGACAGTTCAGGTTCTGCTACATTTTTTGTTATTTCTCAACAGAGTTGCGTGATGCTTTCAAAGAATTTGACAAGGACAAGGATGGTTTCATCAGCTGTAAAGACTTGGGAAACTGTATGAGAACCATGGGATACATGCCCACTGAAATGGAGCTGATAGAGCTGAGCCAACAGATAAACATGAACTGTAAGGACCCACCTGTTTTGTGCATTTACGTGTCATGCATACAACTATATCCTGTATGTGTATTGTGGTTTGAAATTCTGTGCCAAAATCTCAACCTAAATATCTTTGTCAAGTGGGAGGTCATGTTGATTTTGAGGATTTCGTAGAGTTGATGGGCCCAAAACTCCTCGCTGAAACAGCTGACATGATCGGAATAAAGGAGTTAAAAGATGCGTTCAGAGAGGTAAGAGGGTCTAGATTCAGTTTTTAGTAAGCTGTTTCCCATAGCTCTGGTCATGTTGATATTTATTAATAGCATCTTCATCATCAGTGTTGTTCCTCTGCTTGTTCTCAGTTTGACACTAATGGAGATGGTGCCATAAGCACATCCGAGCTCCGAGATGCAATGAGAAAGCTGTTGGGCCAACAGGTAAGATCATAAAGTCAACATTTCAAATACCTCTTTAAAGATTAGCAGGTATGTGCTAAAATGTAGATTGGATCCATTCCCATTCCAGACAAAAGCAAGATGTTAGTGGGTGCTAGTGGGTTCTTTGGCCAGTAGAAACAGGACTTTACAGGAGTGTGGGGCTCCACTCTACTTACCTATTTTTTTCCAGGTGGGTCTGAAGGAAGTAGAAGATATCCTGAGGGATGTCGACTTAAATGGAGATGGGCTTGTTGACTTTGAAGGTAAAGAAGCTTCCGCAAACCAATTATTTATTCAAGGTATCCTGTGAAGTGTGGTGCGACTGCTGCATTCTGTCATCCTCCCTCTCTCTCCACAGAGTTTGTACGAATGATGTCTCGCTGAGGTCACAAAAAGATCGGTACTGAATGTGAAGCTTTGTCCTCCTCTGTACTTGACTGAGTACGACAGAGGACCATGCTAAGTTCTTCTGAGCCGACCCAATCTGAATGAAACTGGAATCAAAACTGCTTGAATGTAACAGAGAAAAGCATCACCTATCACTTTCAATCAATAAGTGTTCTTCCTGAAAGTCTCCAGTTTGAGTGAGGCGAAATTTGCTGTAGCCTAGCTGATGATTGTTCAACTTAGGTTTTTGCACTTTAATTCTCACTAAATAACTTCCTGTGTGGATAGAATGCTGGTGTCTCGCCTCCTCCTCTATGTGGCTAATATAAGTGTTTCGCATAATGTCGCCCTTATGTGTATATCACAGTCAGGATGAGAGAATGAATGCCTGTAGAAAAGAGTGAAAAGACTGTTAAAGGTTTTGTTTCATTTTCACACAGTATGTGTTATATTAGAAGCTATAAGTGGAATGTCCTTTGTGTGACACTGGTGCTCCACCAAGGAACCAACGTGGTAATATCACACCTGTATTGTAACTGTGTGACCATCTGTGATTTCTTATTGTGCCAGTCCAGTAAACAGAAGCATCAACTGACAGCGACGTGCAATGAAGCAGCAGATCTCTGAAATCGATGAGCAGCAGAACTCAGAAATACAGTTCATATACAGTATCTCCTTCTGCATGGTCTGGATCAGGGACATTTGAAAAAACATTTAAAGGAGAAATATGAGGCTTTTTCAGTTTTTCTTTCCTTAAGTGTGAAACTCCTCGTCACCAGCCTGGCCGATACCTCCGGGCTATCATAATGTCACATGACATCACAATGCCTACATTTGCATAATGCATGCCTAGCGGTCGGTCTGGCACGCCCTCTAACAAAACCAGGTAAAGCGAGAGCAGACGTCGATCTTACCTACAGACAATGGAAGCAATTGACCAATCACATCAGAGTGTGACAACTGGCCAATCAGAGCAGACTGGAGGCTTCATCGGGAGGGGGGCCTTAAAAGGATTGGTGCTAAAACCAAAGAGGAGCTGTAGCATTGGTCGATATGAGGAAATGTATGTGTTTTCTGAACATTAGAGTATGTAAATCTCTCATGTAATAACTCAAATTAAATGTATGAACATGAATAAAAGCATAATATATTTCCTTTAAAAAGATGCATAGCTCTCTTTCAAAAGCCAGAAAACCTAAGTGCTCAGTGACACTAACCTGCTGTGGTTTGCAGCATCCGATGCAATGTAAATGGGGCCTCTCCACCCTCCCTGAGAACACTCACAGGTTTGAATTCCTGTAATCTGTAACTTAGATTAGGGAATAAGTCAGTTTTCAAAAATCACCACTACCCTGTTTGTGAACACACCATATGAATGGCATTTGTGGACTGTATATCCAGTGGATGTGATTATGTTGTACCTGTACTGTATGTCAGTGTCAATATGAATCTAGTTGTGGCAATGTTCCACACATCTGTGTTGTCAAAGCAATTTGTATGCATGCCAAAGAGAGAAATGTATTAAATTTAGTATGCACATTACATTTTTTTGTCTAAGGAAGTAAATACAATAATTTCGCCAAGTTGACTGACGAAAAAAATAAAAGGTGTCTACATTTGAGCCCCCTTTTCCTGTAGTGAAATTAAGTAAGAAAATACATGAGCAATATGGTTGAATGTGGTTTTGCATCTGTTATTTAGAAATCCAATGAAAATGTTCTATGATTGCTCAAATACATTGAGGACAGTTTGTTTTGTTATGAACCTTAACTTTCTAAAGACAAATCTTTTCTTTGTGTTTATCATTTCAATGAGGTGATGGTGATTCTGCTGAAGACTGAAGGAGATAGGAAGAGACTGTGGCAGAATCTGATTGGCTGTTTAGAAACGCCCACAATCAGCTGATTAATAAGCATAGAGAGTGTGAGAGAATTGAGATTGATTGAATGGGGCAAAGTCTTCCTGATTGAATTTATGCTGAGCTTCGTTAAAGTCCAGATGTCATTATCAGCATATTGGTAAATTATGCTTTCACAGCATGTCATGATGTCAAACCTATCATATCTATTATTCATATGAATCTCTAAGACGGTTGGGTACGTTGTCTTGTGCAGAAATCCTGCACAGTGATGATTCTTTAGTTATCCTGCGACAGGACAAACATAGATGACTCACTGTGCAGGTCACAAAATGAAGATAAGTGTATTGTATTGTGCTGTCTCCCTGTGTGACCCAATAATATAACTTATGTAGATTTGATGAATGATTTCTCTCTGCTACAAACATGTTTGGCGGTTTAAAGACATATTAGGTAGTGACACAGTATTCCTTGATTACATAACAAAGTCACGTTCTTCTGCTTTATTAGGGCAACGGTGACAACGTGAATTTACGAGCGACTGCAGTCAATTTATTTCACTGTTAAGCTAAGACTATTTTGTAACAGCATTGTAAAAGAAGTTAACCTTTTACAATACACTGCCCCACGCTTTGGCCTTGGTTACTCTACTTAAGGTTTGTTTTTTCATCTGTATGTGGCTTAGACTTCACACAACTTATACATTATTTAAAGGCTCTTAGTTTCCTAATTCTCTCTGTGTTAAGCATTTTAGGATTCACATATCACTGCAAATGACAGAATTTGTTCAGACCTGCTGATATGGCTTCAAAGTGTTTTCCACACAAACTGTTTGACTATGGTTTTTGGTTGAAAAATAGGGGGGAAAAAGTCACCATTTTATTTCAGGTACATTATATTTCAGTGTCTGGTAACAGGTTCAAATGATAAACCAACAGTAATATTAACTCTTAAATGTTGAGTGCAAGACTCAGTTTTCATCCAGAAAGAACAGATGAGATTGTTTGTGTCAAGCACAGCAACACCCACAACAAAACTGCATGTACTCGACACACTGCCTCTGGGCCACTTCTGGAGGAACATGAGGTTAAAAGCAGCAGCAACAAACGTTTGCACTCGCAATTATAAATCCCATAAGAACTTTAAACATTATAACTGTTCGTATCCTTCTTGTTAAAATTCAGCAAATTTACAACAACAACTGTAGGAAGCATTTTATGAATAGAGGCCAGTCTTACTGTATGTTTATATCAGTGCTGTGTAAGGTAAAACAGCAAACATCTGTCACCCACAGAGGTAATGCTGTTGCCATAGCAACTATCTCCATTCATTCCTTTCTGACCAACTCTCCAGTGCACCGTGTGCGCACGCTGTGTTGGACCCCTATGATTGGACAATACTTGGACCGTGTCACCACCGGAAAGAGGGAGAGGGTGGGGGTATGAAGATGAGTTTTTTTTAAATAACATTGTTTTACACAGACACGCACACGCACACACACACACACACACACACACACNCACACACACACACACACACACACACACACACACACACACACACACACACAATTTACAAGAATAATATAGAAAATAAAAATAATGGAGGTTGAAAAATGATGCACACATTGTAAGTGTATCAAGACCAGTCATACTTAGTAAGATAGATAATTTCAGATTAAGGTATGGACCAAGAAATACCTTTCCCAGATTTTGTTCCAGAGATTTATGATCTAACCTTCATTGGCGGTTTTAGTTGTAGGTTTTACCTTAAACTATATGTTACTGTTAATAATCAGTCATTATTAGTTTTAAACTATTGGTGCTTATGAATATTAGACCTTAAATTAAGAGAATGCATAGTGGTAAAGCAAGGACGTTTTATAAGGATAAATTCTTGTTATTTTGATTCATGTCCCTCTTTTTGCAGGTCCAGTGTATGGATGTTTTTTTATCAAAGGTGTTTTTTTTTCGAATCAGAATCAGAATCTGGGTTTATTGCCAAGCAAGTTTACACGTACATGGAATTTTCTGTATTGTATTTCTGCAAGTATAAATGTCAAAAATATTTTTAGAAATAGGAAACTACATTAAATATAAAAAATACCATTAGCACCAGGGGAGGGATGTGGCTGTGCAATGTATAGTTAGTCCGTTATTTGCCACAGGAAGTTAAAGTGTCAAAGTGTCACAGTCACAGTCACAGGCAGGGACATCAGTGCTGTCCAGTGTATTGGTGCAGGTTCACTGCTTGGTACCTTCTGAGACACTCATTGTGCCAATAATCAAGAGTGAAATAAGGAATAGAGGACACTGTTGAATTTGACTAAAATTTATAGTCTGGAAAAAAACAGACATTACAATTTTCAAATGTTGTTGTTTTTTTTGCCAAATATATAAAATATTTCATTAAAGATTCAGTGGCAAAGTCTTCTGCCACCATGCGTCTTTCAACACAACCGATGACGCAAGTTCACATTCAGCAGTTAATCGGTCACCAAAAATATGAGTGTGTTCAGTGATCAGTTCTCTTTTAATGCACTCATGCACAACACTGCTGAATACACACTTAACATTTAAGTATTTGATCCCACCTTTTTGTTTGTGTTTGGTTTTCTTACAAATGTCTTATATTTTATTATATTCAAGTCACTGACTGTTGTATATCCCCCTGTGACAACATTACTATTTTCTTTGTAGATACTCTCTGTGACTGTTTTTTGTATCAATCCAAAAATATTAAGGATTATGGTCAGAGGTGGGGAGTAATATAGTACAAATACTTTGTTACTGCACTTAAGTAGATGTCTCAGGTATCTGTAGTTTACCTGAGTAATTATTTTTCTGATGACTTTTTACATTTACTACCCACAATTTAAAACAAACCTGTACTTTCTACTCCAACAAAGAAAAGATGATTCTCTGCTGTATAACCATTGTTTCATATCATGCAAAACACACACATCCAGTGCTAAACCTCCTGGACACATTTTCATGCTCAATTTCTTGCTTTAACTCCAGCTTACAATATGTTTTTTTTTTTTTGTGGGTGTGGTTTAAATGAACTATGAATTAAACTATATTGATGTGTTATGAGTCTCAGTTTGCTTTGCAGATTAAATGGCCCTCAGAGGGGTACTTTTTACTTTCATACATGAGTACATTTTACAGCCTGTATTTTGACTTGAGTAAAGAGGTTCAACCAATGCGCATACTTCTACTTGAGTCACTTCTGACACAAGTATCTTTACTTCTACTTGAGTAAAGAATGTGTGTACTTTTACCACCTCTGATAATATCAGACCTGCCAGTCAGTCTTAGAAGGGGGCGTGGACCCAGACTGAGAGCTCTGCCTGACAGACTGAACTCAGGGCACAGAATACTCCACCTCTATACTTGACGTGTAAAAGGGACGCAGGGTGTCTTCTGTCCACGTGTCTGTCAATCAAACTCAGGACAGAGACATGCAATGTAGTGAAAACTCTCAACATGTCGGACTTTTGCATTTTCTCACTGAACACACTCGAACTCGCTGTTTGTACACATTTGTAACGAAGTAGTCTGTGATTGGTCCGTGACACGGAAGCTCGTGTTGAGTGGTTCGGGAAACCTCTAGAGGCGGGACGTGATTCGACGGAGCACTTGTCACTCATCGGTCACGGGGAATCTCACGTTAGGTAGCACCGGTCCCGCCCCCTGCACACTGGCCGAGCCAATGTTAGTTAGGATGCACGCATTGAATGAAAGTCAGTGCAGCAGCAGCAGGAGGAGGCTGTGGTCCCACAATATCTGCTCACTCAACTCAGCTGACAGCTTGTAGAGCGGGCAGCCGGTGACACTGTGTCCGCGCAGAGAGGAGAGCACGTCGGCAGAAGAAAGGCTCCGATTATCGGCGAAACGGGAAGAAGGTAAGAGACATTTGCATGAGCGTTAGCCAGCTGGGCTCCCATAGACCAAGTATTTCTGGTTGGACAGGTAGCTAGCTAGCGTCACTCACTGCTAATGTCTCGGTATTCTTCACTGCTTGACTAAATAATCCACACGTTGTAATATTAGGTCACGAATCTGTCCACGCGAGACTGTTTATAATAAAACTGTCCTTAACTGTGTCTCTGTGTGCTCCTGTGCTAATGCTACTACCGGTGTTGGTGCTGTTAGCATACTGGCTAACTCGGAGATATCACGTTGCATGTCACCACGACGAGCCTCGATAGCCCCGTACGTGTGCGGGCAATGTAACATACGGGAGGGTTAGCGCTTGGCTCTGCTGTACGCAGCCAGGTACCGACGCTGTCTGTGTCTGTGTCCAGGACAGGGCTGTGCGGGGCAATGCAGCGGGTCACGGCGCACCTCGTCGCCGGGTTGGTCGCAGCGGTGCTGTCGCTGCTCGCAGAGCAGTGCTGGGCGGACGGCGGGGGCCCCAGCCTCGCCGAACGGGTCATCTGGGCTGTCAATGCCGGGGGTGAAACACACGTAGACGTGCACGGGATTCAGTTCAAAAAGGACCCGTTGGAAGGAAAGCTTGGTAAAGGTGAGTTGAAAAAGCTTGCTCGTGTGATCGTACGTGTCTTTTTTTTTTCTTTCTGCCTGGTTTCGGCTGCAAGGTGTTGTGTGAGAGTGACATTGTGAAGGTAAATGCAGCTGCTCCTCGGAGCCTGAGGAAAATTTGCAGCAGAAAACCTGTGCATGCTCCTGCTTCCGCAAGTGAGCAGCATCTAATGAGGAGTCAGCATAGAGGGCTGCAGCTCCGCCCCTCTCAGTGTGGACAGGAAGCAGGTGATGATGTGATCTAATTGACTGTAGAGTCCTTCATGGCGTCAGTTCTGAGGCACAGATGCTGGAAGTGAAAGTTGTCGTGAAGCACAGTGTGGTAATCTGGCGTTTGAGACAAAGAGGAAACTGTATTTCACATAGTGGTGGAAAAGGTAAGGGCTTTGCTGAATTTAAAGGACTATCAGTTTCCCAGTACTGCATGTATTACACTGGTCCTGTGAGCAAAGTGCACACATAACTTGATGCTTTTTTTTCCTTCGCAGCCTCAGACTATGGGGTGCGTTTGCCAATTCTACGCTCCAGTCCAGAAGACCAGATTCTTTATCAGACAGAACGCTACAACGAGGACACTTTTGGATATGATGTTCCCATTCGCGAGGAAGGAGACTATATACTGGTTATGAAGTATGCAGAAGTTTACTTTGCCCAGTCACAGCAAAAGGTAATGTATCAGAGATCATCAAGTCTACTGGTGTGTGTTGCAATTTTTATCTGCACTGTTTAAATGGATAACATATGCAATGAACACATTTTCAAAGGTATATTTTTTATATATATATTTTCAGTTCAAATACAATGTGAAGGACATTTCATTTTCTGTCCTAATTTACACGGCGCTGCGCGCTGGTGTTCGGACAGTACTCAGGGAGTTGTTTGATTTCCCACTGGTGTACTGTACTCAATGATGATGCCACAAGTGTTAAGCTGTGTGTCTGTTTGTGATAATCACTTGGAAAATCTGTACTTCTAGGTGTTTGATGTCCGTCTGAACGGCCATGTGGTGGTGAAGGACCTGGATATCTTTGATCGAGTTGGCCACAGTACCGCTCATGATGAGATAGTGCCTTTCTCTATTCGACGTGGCAAGCTGAGCGTGCAAAGGGAGGTGTCCACTTTCAACGGCAAGCTCACTGTGGAGTTTGTAAAGGTGAGCTGTTTTTCCTTTTCTTATTATTTGAAGAATTTCTGGTTTGAATTGTCTGTGAACAGGACTGACTTAACTTATTTTTGCTGTCATGATTCTCTTCCTTGGCATTCTGACAACTTGGTCTAGTTGAAACAGGTTGGTCAGTTATGGAAATTGACTAAATGTGAACGTTGCTTTTACTGTTTAGGCAGGGGACTTGGCCGTTTGAATGACAGTGTTCACTTCCCTACGTGCATTTGTTCTACCTAGAAAAGTTCCCTTCAGACTATTTTGCAGCAGCACATTCAATGCATCCTGGACTTATCGCCACCAAAGACAATTGTGATTGGTTAAAGAAATACAAACAAAACAGACCTTTTTCCTCCTACCCTGGAACAATAATGGGTGAAGCCAGTCCATTCTCCACCACTGTGGAGATAAGCCTGACTAATTCTGCAGGAATAGTGTATAAGTTAAAGTATTGTCATTAAAGTATTTTTCAAGCTCTCGGAAGAAAGAGGAACATGCCACATATTTAATATCTTTTCATTTCAACCTGCATTTATTTCAAACTTAAGGTCTTTGGAAGCGTTTGTCTAGCCAAGTAAAATTGTCATCATGACTGCTGGATGTTGGTGTTGGCCATGTTTTTGACATCTGACCAAAATCTCATCAGCTTTTATCATATTTGTTCACTACTGCTTTGAACTTTGCTCTGTTGCTCTCACCAGTCCATTTTCTGTAAATCATGTTTCAACTTCTTCACTATTTAGTATTTCTTCAGGTTAGTGGATGCTTGTGTTCATTTCACCTATTCATATACACGATTCCCCGTTTATTGTGATGTACGAGAGGACGTTAATGATATCCAAAATATCTGTTGTTATTGGTGCATAAAATATAAATAACCGATGCAGATAGAACAGATAGAATTTGGAGTTAGTCTGACAATGAACCCTTTATTCTTAGTCTCTGAAAAGAGCCAGTGTTGAGGTCAGTAATTGTTTCACTTCTTTCCTTGTCACATTTTATTCTTTGCTAGTACATATACTGTGTTTTGCCACATTCAGCAGCAATAGTGTGGTAATTTGTGTCTAACCTTCACATTATCCTTAGCATGCTCTTCCTTTTACTCACTTAATGCAGCCTGACCTGTATTGCTATCGTAGCTCTCAATACAGTGTCATCTCATACAATGATTCTGTACATTTTTGACAATCGGTATGATATTTATAAGGTTAAATCTAATCTGTAATAAATGGGAAAATTAACTATATTTATTTAGTGCTTTTCTAGTCAAAGTGCTTAACAGTAAAAGCCACATCCCTACAGTTGTTCTATACTCAGTGTTCAGCATGCAAACTGGAGGAGCCACAGGTAGAACCACAGACCTTCTGTTCAGCGGCCCGCCCTGCCTCCTGAGCCAGACATCTGTACAAAACTTCCCCACAATGTGTGCCTAGGTGTATTTATCACCACAGAATTAAATTCAGAAGGGAACTAGGGAGAGCGTATACCTCCACTGAGGCCCAACCGTCCCCTTATGAAATCACATATACATTTTGGATTTGCACCAAACTGCACACACTCAAAAGTACCTGTCCCATAAAGATGACAAATTCTTTTCATCAACGTCCTGAGAAATCAAAGAAAATGTTGCAAAATGCCTAATCTCGAAACATTAGAGAAAAATCCTGAATCCGTCTGCCGATCTGGATCTGCACCGAAAACTAATGGGTTCTTCCCTGACCCATACCGCAAGTTTCCTGGTAATCCGCTTAGAAGTTTTTGCGTAATTATGCTAACTAACACTTTTTCAAAGATCCTGAAGAGTTTCACACACACTTTTTTTCGGACACTATTATTCCGTTTAAGCGCTGAATTCTTATAAATCTTTGAATTTTTTGTAGGTCGCTGGTTCTGTTTGCTTTTATTTCTGTCAAGAGAAACAAATGGGGCATGCCGTCTGTTCTTTTTGCAGATTAAAAACAAAGAAAGGCATTTCTAATGATTGTGTTCATCTTGCATTGAGTGTCATAATAAGATAAGGGTGTTCCAACCATGTTTGTGGAAAGCACAAGTGATTATACATACACGCATACATACAGTTTTTTTTCAATTGTACCATTTCATTCAGCTGTTCTACATCACCACTCCAATGTACTAGTGCAGCCACTGATCATTGTTATAAATACCTATAACTATTTACTGTCATTTGTTTTGTCTGCATCATGTGGATGATCTGTTCTCTGTTTCAGGGTTATTATGACAACCCAAAGGTCTGTGCGCTCTATGTAATGAAGGGAACATTAGAAGGTGAGTCCTGACACTGTGAACATACTGTAACCTTTAGTCTTTTGCATAAAATCTTATTATACTGAGTAGTTTCTCATCTCTGGCAGCTACATGTAAACACTTCTCGATAGCAATTGTAGACCGAGTAGATACAGTGTTATATACCAGCACTTTAGACACATCCAGTTGTTTTATGTTCTGTTCTTTTCATGTGTATTTTTTAATTTTTTTTTACAGATGTACCAAAACTTCAGCCTCATCCTGGCATGGAGAAGAAAGATGAAGATGACAATGATGATGACGATGATGAAGAAGGCGAGGAAGGTGGAAAGAAAAAGGTGCCAGCAGGTTCTAAGTACAGGGTCCAGTCAGGTCCCCGAACACCAAACCCATACGCAGCCGACAACAGCAGTCTAATGTTTCCCATCCTCGTGGCATTTGGGGTGTTCATCCCCACACTGTTCTGCCTCTGTCGGCTGTGAGCTTAAACTAGCTATCAAGAAGACGTTAGGAGGACGACACTGACGCAAGACTATGAAGAGAGAAGGGGAGAGATGAGGGGGAGGGGGTCAAAGTGACAACAGCAGCACAGGTTGAGCTGAGGGCTCGCAGAAAATCGACAAAGGCAGGAGGAACAAAAGGAGACAATAATTTTTTTGGGGAGGCCACCTCAAGATGAAGCAAACGCTGCTGGTGAATTGTACCGGAGGACAGAAAAGGAGATGTAGGAAGTGTATGCTGTGCGCTTCTTTGTGAATGTGTTTCGCATCCACCTCTGCTGACCCTTTTGAACAATGTTCGTAATTTTTCCACTCATGAGACCGGGCAGGATTTACAGATGCCAGTCTTCACGGTTTGAACCACATCTCAGCAGCTAAGGGACGCTCAGGAGTGATTGGTCTGGGCCCGTTTTATAAACTAAAAGCATTGTTTTGTATTGGGTGTGGCAAGGAAGCACACTGTTTAACACTCCTGCTACTCTTGCTCAGCATCTGGTCATACATGTTACCTTCTAATTGGATATGGTGCTGCACAGAAATAGTTTAAAAGATTAGAAACCATGAGTCTGACGGTAAACGGAAATGCAGTTGCCATTTGAAAGGCGTTAATTTTTTCTATTCAATTTGTTGCTTTTTTTTGTCTGTCCACTCAGATCTAGTTAGTCCTGCCTTGACGTGCCATCATTTGTTTGCTGTACAATGTTGAAAGATCGAAAAAATTCATGTGGAACTAGCTCTGTGGCCGGCAGGATTTTTTGCTGTCTGCTGTCTTAACTCAGCTGCCTTTACAGAAATATTGGTCGGTTTGGATAAATTAGGTCATTTGAGTGGCCATAGGAAAATTATTCCTCAACAGTATCAACAAATTGTCCTTTTTTCCTCTTTTTTTTTAAAGGATTAATCAATTTTAAATGTCTAAATTTACACGTTTTGAAGAATCACTGTACTCGCATTTAGTAACAGGCAAGTGAGTGAGTCCTGATTATCACATTGCTTTATTTTAGGTCATCTTTGCTTTCTCGATTTGTTTATCAATGACGCATGCCTGCCATTTTGTTTCACCAAAGAACATTTTTTTATTTTGTTGTGACAAGGAAAATTAGCGGCCTGTTTTTTAATTTGACAAATCTGTGATGTGTGTGGCAAACAGTAGGTTTACTTAATAAAAAACAGCATGAAATTTATAACGGTTCACTTAGAGGAACATAATGTTCCACTTTTAACATCAGACAGGGAGAGGTCATTTTATTTTTCTATTGAATACATAATGCTGTGTTGACTCTGATCGGCCATGAACTTCAGTCCATGTTATCAGACTCAAAGAGAGCAGGCCACTGCAGCTCAATGATAATATAATAGATCAGAAGAATCTACCCGTGCTGCATGTGTTTGATACGGAGTCTCTCGGTGTGAACCAAAAGTTCATCCACCTGCAGCGAGAGAAAGCACAACATTGGTATCCGTAGAAAACCAAATGTTTACCAGATGTTCCAGATCAATTTTCCACATTCTTCACTTGGCCTTTTCAGATCTGTTGTCTTTTTTATTTAATGTGGACTGTACCATTTTGTTAATTCAGTGCAATTAAGATGCTTGTTCTGGATGTTGAACCAACTGGATAAAACGTTATCATTGTGGGGTTTTTTTCTACATGGCCATATTATCAGTCTACTCTTGAGTTAGTTTCAGCTTTTGGAAAAAGTTATCCTTTTATGCTTTATATGTGAACTGAAAAGCAGCTTTGTTCTTTTTTTTTTTTTTTTTTAGTGTTGTCTTGTAAATCCTCCTATTAAGTATCTAGTTACTTCCCTTAAGTGCTCAGCTCTTCTCCAAGGACAATTTTGTAACTTTGCCTGTTTCACTAATGCGTCTTAAATTTCCCCGGGCCCCTCACCCATCCACCCAACCGCCCACCTTAGTATTGCTGTTGCCATATGCAGTACTTGGAAAAACTGTTAATAATTCAGTTGTTGCAGATCCTCCCCCACTCCTCGATTTCCCCTTCCCAGTTTGATGGATTGGCAAGAAGTTGGTGCCATAAAATGTTCAGACAGTTGTCTGCATTTTGGAGGTTTCTGTTTTTTGGTAGTCTTTTTTTTTTTTTCTTGATTTAATTTTATCAGTTGGAAACTCAACACATATTCAAGACAGAAGCACCCTTTTCTCCCTATGTGAAGGTGCAAAAAGTTCATTCAATTCAGCACCAAAGTCCACACAGTTGCATGTGTATATATGGGACAATATCACAAGATTTGTTGTGTGACGACAGTTTTGATCTCATCACTTTTGTGTTTTAGCTGAGGTGTTAGGGTTTTTCTTTTTTTCTTTTAAGGAAGACTTTGTGGCCTTTCTTCTGGGGAGAACGGTTGTTGGTACAGAATATAAAAAAACTAAAAAAAAAATTAACAGGCAGCCAGATGAACTGACTGTCAGAAAAGAGTAACAAATAAAAGAGATTACGTCTGAAAATGTGGGATCTTCCATTCTATTACATATAATTTAAATCAGAGTGGGGCTGATCTGGAGATATTTTATAATACACTTGGATTTGTATGTTTGAATTTTTCCTCAGGATCTGTTTTGTTTTTGAGTTCTTAAAACGTGATATTTTATTGGTGTGACATTTTGCACTGCCTCATGTATTTTAATTTTGATGTGTTTGTCTTTGTTGCCTTGAATTATTGAATACAACGTGCTTTACCATCATTCGCCTTGAGGTTGCTTTTTTGTTGGCTTATATCAAATTCGCCTATTTCTTCTCAGTTAAACCCACATTTCAGGGAGAGATCTTTATTCCACACACACGGCTCTTTTCAGACATAAGGCTCAGTAGGATTCTTATTTGTTCAGACTGTTGTTCACCTCAACTTTTCTAGGAGTAAAGCCAGTCACAAGTGGAAAGGTCTGCCTTTTTCAGACCTGTTGTGGTCAGTACACCTCACAGCTGAATGAACTGGAGTGGAATGAAGATCCTCTCTTTTTTCCCACGAGAACCAAAGAATTTCTGTCATTCCATCAAGATTCTTTAACAGCGTCTCAAAATGACACTTAAGGTTTTTGATTTCTTTCATTCCCCCCCATTACCTGGTAAAGCAGTAACAAAAACAGGGGAAGCAAACATGTCGTTCAATTTGTCACCACTTATCCGCCTGCCATGACACCATCTTTTATTTGCTCTGTGATTGTAAAAAAAAAAAAAAAAAAATCTTTTTGGAGAACATTTTCAGCCTGATGTTATTTTCCCCTCGTGTCTCATTTTCAAAGCAGCTGAACGTGTGAGATGAATTTAAACTGAGACAGATTTGAACAGCGAAACTTTAGCCAATTTAGGCCATGGTATGCGTACATGAAGGGTGAAGTCTGCCACTGGTCACACAGTGGGAGTGTGAGAGACAGTGAGCGTGAATTAAAATACGAAACCTATACTATAGATATACATGTGTTGGATAAAGGCAGGTTATTTTGACGACTGTGTTGACTGATTTTACTCAGATGTCATGTACACCTGCAAAATGGGAAATGCTGATTAAATGCTGTCTCTTTTTAATAAATGTGCTATTTTATCAGAATGTCTCTGCTGTTGTTTGGATTCCTCAGTGTTTGTGACAAGTACTGTGCCTGTGAATACACAGGTTCCAAAGTATTTTTGGAATTGTGCAAACTTGACAGCATTTGCAACCCTTGAAACTCTTCATGTGCTCTAACAACGTTTCGTACAAAAAGCTAACAGAGCAGCTAAGGTCAGCAGGGTCACAGCAACATGTACGGGCCCTTTGTTTGTCCAGGTGTCGTTTTTTTTTTCCCCACCTTTTTCCACCAACTGTGAATACTTCTTGAAATAGAACCACATATCTAAAAGCTGCTGGGAGCAGAATATTTAAAAGACAAACACAGCTGAACAAAGTAGACGAAGCACGTCCACTAACTAAGGTGGCCACACGCTTTTGTCAAGAGCCATTGTTAAGTTGAGTTTTAATAACCAATGAATGACTGTATAAACTCCCAGTATATCATATTCACTATTTACAGATTTATATATATATTTTACAAAACATAACATTTATAAATTAATAGATTTGATGTTGAAGTGCATCATTTCCTTGTGCGTCTTTTCAGAGGTAACAGATAAAGCAGTTTCCATGCAGTCCCAGTCTCAGGTTGGCTTCATCTGTAGTACAGAGCCATGAATGGTGTGTGTGAAAGGTGAACACCGCCACTTCCACAGGACACCCCTGCTCCAGCCTGACTGCAGCCCAGCACCAGGCCCAGCTCCAGATCAGGCAGCACGCTGGCGACCCCATCCCCCCACGCGTGGCTGTCGGCGTCATGCAGAGCGTGAGGAGCTGGGTTTTCTCCGAGTGGATCCCCCCTGGAAGAAAACACCACCCGCCTCATGTTCACCAAACTGGGACCCCTTCCTCCGGCACCACCTGCCGCCTCCTGCAGACTCTGGAAAAGGAACAGCAGATCCACTCTGAGCTCCAGCCGGCTGCCCCGTGACCACACACTGTACCTAAAGGAGGCGAGAGACAACAGAGTGTCAACCAGGCCTGAGACCACCAGAGGCCTGCAGTTCAGCACTGTCTATGAAGGCCTCAAAAAGGCATCTAAAGGTTAAGTTCATATTGAGAGTAGTTTTTACCTTGTTGGAAGGCTGCGCTTTGCCATGGATGGAAGCACGGGTTGGACGTTCAGGTGCTGCGGGTTGGAAAGTTGAAGGTGAAGCTCTGCCCTCGTGACTGTTAGTGACAGAATCTCCCTGGTGAGAAGAAACTCCACATCTCTATCTGAGGAGGAGGAGAACAAGAGGCAGGAGAGTCTGTCAGAGTCACAGTCCCGTTAAAGACGAAGAGCATTTCAGGTCAGAGAGCAGCACATACTCATGTCAGGCTGCATCGTGACAAATCTCAGGGATCAGAAAACAATCTCTACCACAGAGGTGATGTTTTCACTGCTAATTCCATGTTAATCTGTCAGCAGGACACCTCGGCAATTCATGGAGGGGACATTAAGCCAGCTGAGACTCATTTATATGCAGATGACACCCTCCTCAATACCACTGTATTAATCAAGCTATTATGTCCCCCAAACTGCTTTTCCAGCTATCTCTCTTTCACCTCTACAGCCTAAGACTTTCCTGCACAGCGTTACTCATGACAACACCAAATACTGGATGGACTTTGCAGAATGTAAATGGAATCTTAGATGTGTGTATGTTCAAAAGACGTCTTGGTGAGTCTGAACAGGTTTAATCTAGACCCGAGCATATATAGATAAGAGCATATCTTATTTTATGCAAACATCTTGCTGGATCCTCCTCCTCACAGCTCTGTGGGCTTTACCTGAGAAGGCTGCTCTTTTTCTATTATTCCTCATGTACACATTTCACATCAAGAACTCAGTAACCTCCATGTAAGGCAATGATGAGTTGTGATGCAGCTGGAGGATTGATTAGAGGCTCCCAAATCCTCTTTACGGAAATAAACCTGATCTTCAGTTCTCTGGTTGAGCTCTGCATCACTCCACATCAACCCAACCCCCCACAACACACAAACATTAGAACAGAGATCATTAGAACAACTCTTACCTCCTCTCAAACGACCTTGAATCCCTTTGACGCGTCTGCAGGTTAATCCCTCGTGACAGCATTGGTAAACGCGTCGAACAAAGTTGAAAAGAGATTTTCCTGGGAACACCAGGCCTTGCGAGGCTCCCGGGGAAAAGGGTCGACCGCGGAATTGCAACGTTGTCGCGTTATCTCCGGCTGCTTGTGTGTTTTCCAGCCAAGGCGCCGCCAGCTCTGCGCAGCGCTCCCGGTGCGCCTCCTCCGCCCCGCGCCTCATATCCTCCGTGCGTAAAGTTGGTCCGGATGATTCATCTGCACTTCTCGGCGATTGCGACGCAAATCCCAGCGCATCTACTGCACGACCAAATACTCCAGTGTCACTTGTCATCACCGAGAGAAGAATGAGAGCAATCCAGATACAGTGCGAGGAGGCCATGGTGAGGTGTCTAAATCCTGACTTTCGAATCCTCAATGATGAACAACAAGCTGCTTCTGTGTGGTGCCAGCTCTCCATCCGACGACTTTGCTCTGCCTGCTTTATACCCCTGTGACAATGGGAACAACTTACCACTTAGAATTTGAATCCTGGCCCTCCTCACAGTCCCTGCCCCTCTTTTTGTTCGTACCTTTAACCACCCATTTGCCCCCCATCGCTTTCTTTTAATGCGCCTGCATAATAAGGCGCCCCGAAGAGCGCCGACTCCATCCATTCAAATTCAGCCGCTGAGCTAATGACTCTAAATGCTCCATATTTGGATCATCAGGAACGATCTCATTCACAACACACACAGCACAGAAACCTTGGGACGGAGCATGAGTGATAACATTTTATGAGCATGCTTCTCAAACAGCCGTGCGCACGTCACCCTCCAGTCGGCTGTGACCATTTTGAAACGAGGCATTAAGCCTGAGGTGGAAAACAAGTGGAGCCGGATTGCAGGGTCACATGCAGGCCGCTGATGGCCCTGGTAAGACCGTGCAGCCCCGTGGTTTTTACACAAGCGTTTACAAAAGTAGCTCACACAAGACTCGACACTGAGAGGGTCCGGTATTCATTTAATTTCCACTAATAATATTTTTTTTTTAAACAGTGCTGTGCAAAAGAAGAGTCTAACAACACATTTATGTTACCAAAGAATTGATTTGAAATAAATACACTTTTTTATATATAAAAGATGTTTAAATATAGCTTTAGCAAAAGTTTGATTATGTACAGAAATTAAACAGTAAAGATTTATTCTTACCTGGGGTCTAAATTTAGTTCTAAATAAATGCATGCAAGTACAGAAAATTTGTACCTTAATTGCATTGATGTGACCGAAGAAAAAATATGTGAAAAGTCCAGAAAATGTGAGAAGAGAGTAAACAGGAGTGTGTTTTAACATGGCAGAAATAAATGTAAACTAAGCATGTGAGTAACTAAAGATATGGCTAAAACCTTATTGTAAACATGTGCAAACATAACCTGGCAAAACCACAACAACATAAATTACTTTAAACTTATTTTCATTACACACAATAAGCAAATATCACGCAATCTGTTAACTATGGCAGCTCCAAAAACAGAGGAAGCTTTGAATCATATTTTGGCAAATCTGTGTTAATTTTAAAGCTATTAACAGAACAGCTTGTCAGACAGTCACACACTGCAGTTAGGTCAGAGCAGGTTTACCCCGTGCTTCAGTAGTCTGTGTCGGGCCTTGCTGGGCAGCGAGAACGCGCTGTCCTGGTGGTTGGGGATGCCAGAGTTCCTCAGTGATCCCCCGTGCTGCTGGAAGTAAGTCTCCTGAGCCACGCTGCGTGTTCCATACACTGCAGCACCGGCACTCCTGCGGTTCAAATGTTACATGTATTTTAAAGCATAAAGAATGTGTAGCAGAGCAGAAGATAAAGAGATGCACAGAGCAAGGACAGAAACGTTTTCTTCTTCCAGTAAATATGAGCTGTTGCTGCAGTGTGGTCTATGCAAGTAAAGGAAGAACATTCAGGGATTGGTGGGATGTAGTGATAGACACAATGTACTGACAAACCTCCACCCCCGACTTCTACTTGAGGAGCCATTAAAGGCACGAGAACCACCCCCCCAACATACACACTCACACACACACAAAACCACCACCACCACGTCACTGCCATACTGACCTGATAATAGCCTCCTGCAGAGTTTTAGTGTTACAGAAATGCGAGTGAAGAAGCGATGTTGCCCTGACAAAAGGATGCTCCTGGGCTCCCCCTGGTCGACCAGACAGGTTGGCTGCAGAGACACACAATAACAGTGGCACATTAACCTGGACAGGCATGCCTGCTGCACAAAGGAATGCTGATCTCAGTCTTACTAATTAGCCGTTTGCTCATGCAAAGACAAATATAAACTTTCAAACCCCACCCCAGTGTCCGGGTACAGATGCCAGGGATTTTACTCACTCCAGCAGAAAAGTTAAAACTGGAAAAGACAGACTCAGAGCAAAGCCAAGTGAAGGAGAAGTCAAAGAGTGAATACAGAGAGACGTGTGTGATCGTATGAGGCCTTACTCGTCAGTGTGCTCTGAATGCAGTCATAATGGGCAAAGATATAGGGACCCAGAGCCCCCGGAGCCCCTGGACAAATTGTCCTCAGGTGGGCCTCCAGTCCGTTGAGTGATGCCAGGCTGCTGTGATACTAGATACAAACCATAAAGGCAGAGCCAAATATTAGCATCACAAAGGCAAATTAGTGCACTCATGCACTTAAATTCAAATTCTGCCGAGTCACAGCTGGTGGATTATAGAGGGAGACATTGTAATGCATTACATCTGCTGTGTCATGAAGCTTCTTTTTGTTTCACTCATCAAAAGAAGTGAGGTCAGGTTTTGTGCTCAAAGAGGTTCAGTATGGAAATGTGACAAACATAGGAGCAATCAGGGTTATTAGTCGCGTGGCTTTTGTTTCTCACCACTTCCTCCATAGAAGCTGTGTCACTCAGGAAGGGAGGATCCACCAGCAGGGCCAGCACCAAGCCTTTCACCCGGTGCAAGTACAGCGTCATGGGGATCAGTGGACTCTCCTCTGGGTTGTCAGAGGCACCAGAGGAAGGAGAAGGATCTTGTACCTCCACCTTGTGACCTTGCGCACTCCCACAGCCCTCCACTCCTCTATCTCCCACCACCTCCTCATATTCACGCGATTCCTCATTGCCTGACTCTGACCCTCGCAGGTCAAATTCTGTCCCACAGCCATTGAGGAGGGAGTTTTCTTCAAATGCAGAGCCATCTCCATTGCCATGTACCTCGCTGTCTCCACCTTCATTGCTGTGAAAACTCTGATAAAACGATTTGTCAGGCGATTCAGAGGAATGTTGTTCAATGGAAAAAGGAGGCTCAGGGGACTGTGGTGGAAGGTTGAGGGGATCAGCAGTGCTCTGCGATGGAGCTGGGTTACACACTGAGTAATCTGATTCTGACAAGCAAGGACTGACGGACACCTTCTGGGGAGACTGGGAGGGACAGAGGTCAGATGAATCGGACTCACTGGAGGCCATTTCAGATAATGTTCTTGACAGGCGGGTCTTCTTCTGGGGAGCGTCTCTGCGTGGAGTAGAATGGGAACTGGAGGATGGAACACAGTTTCAGAAAGTCTTTTTACTCACACATCCTGTTTTAAGAAACTTTTTAAAGTCTTAAATACTTTCTAATCTCACATGGGGAGGACACTACCTGAGATCTTTGTCGACAGGAGCAGACTGCAGGTACTGGAGTTCAGATATGGTCAGGAACACTGTCGTGGTGCTGACAGCAGCTCCGGATCTGCCAGAGGCCCCTGGTCCATGGTGCCTCTAAATAAAAAAAATTAAAAAAGACTCAGCTTTTTAAAGGAATAGTTAAACTTTTTTTGTATTTGGTTTGTTTTTTTGTGCACCACTTCGATATCCTCAGATGTGATGTCAGTGGTGGGTATAGCAGACAGACCATTTGCCTTTTCAAAGTGTTACACTAATGTTGAATTGTTCAGGGTCCCTGCTGGGAAAAGATTGTAGAAAACATTTGGACTAAATTTCATGTCGTACCTTTGTGTACATCTCAGTCTCATGGACCATGACCTTCATTGTGAGCTCCGGAGTCATCTGTGTGCTGACAACTCTGAGGACGAGAAGCAGAAATGGTCTGTGTTTTCAGACTGCGCTTGTTTACGGAAACTACTTCTCAGGAGATGGATGATGTCAAAATGTCAGCTTACCTTCCTCTGAATAGGATGCAGCCTGCCAACACTAGAGGGCAGCGCTGACATGCCTGAAGAATGAGGGCAGCTTTGAGCAACAGAAGTGGGTCAACCTGAGGACAAAAACATTTATTTATCACCTGCTGAAAGTAGATGAACTGAGAAGTAATGAATACAGAGCCAGACACTTCATCTATCATGAGGCAGGGTCGTCTCAGAATCTGTTGTGTGAAAGGTTTGCAACAGGACTGAACAAAATGTGCCTTGAAAGGAGCACATTTTAAACTTGGTCATTTAGCGTTTTGTTTGGCTATGAGGCCAGAAAATAACCAGGATTTACTGGCACTGCTTTGTGAACATCTAAACTGATTCTCTCGAGACAATGACTAAGCAGAAGTTTGCGGGTTTCTGTTAAGACACATTGAGGGCTTACACAATAACACATAGTCATATCCTGTCTGAAGAAAACATCTAGTTTATGTGCAGCAGCATCATAAGCCACTGCAGCACTGAACTACAGAGGGCATCATCATTTTATACGTACATTGGTTGAGTCGATGGTTCGTAAACAGCTGAAGATGCGATGGAACTCTGAGGATCCTGGCTGCAGGTATGAGAGGTACTGCCCCCATCGAGCAGCCAACGTTTCCTGGCTGTTAAGCTACAGCATAAAACAAACTCAAATTACAACATGCAGAGACAGACAAGATATTACTAGGGTCATAGTTCTTGTATTTTCTCAATATATACATACAAGATAATAATAATTTCACATACAGTACAACTAAACTGTGATTTTGACTTTCAGCTATGTTGTACATTGTTCTTTAATTCAATGCAGACCTTCCTGTTTGCCACCACCTTTTATTAAATCAAATCATGAGTTATTTATTACAGTTGCTTTTACTCTTTTATTTCTTAGTTGTTGTTTTTAATTAACCACTTAACAGTTTTGTATTTATTTCTAACTACTCCTATGTATTGTCTTATGATAACTGTCATATTTTATGTAAAGCACTTTTAACTGCTCTGCTGTCAAAATGAGTTACTTAAATAAACTGTCCTTTCCTAATGTTGGTCCATGACTTGGTGCAAATCCTCTTACAAACTCTTAGGAAAAAAATCAGTCTTTCATCATACAGAGCTGCTGTAGAACTATGAGGACGACTGGAGTGTGTACCTGGTAGCTCTGTCGGACAGAGCCATTGTAGAAACAAAACAGATTAATGAGCTGATCCAGTAGCTCACACACACTGACGGTGGGGACTTCCACTGAGCAGCCCAGAGCCTGAGAGTGAAAAAACAAAGAAACATACATCCCAAATAACCAGGTCAAAACAAAGTCATCTTGAAAAGTTGCAGCCAGACCACCAGTGAGAGCACTCACCCAGAAGAAGTCATCCTTCATGCGGATGGCATACTTGCTGCGCCGTAGCCTCAGGATGCGCACAGGAGAGGAGGACAGCTCAGAGACACAGCGGCCTACGCCGGCGAGCTGTCCGCAGAGAAGCTCCTGCTTATCTAAAGGGGTCTGCAAGAAACGCACAGGGGAATTACACAGAAATAATTATAATACAAATCTGTGGATTCAAATACACACAAAATTCAAGTAAGCAACAAGGAATCATTATTTAACATACACATACAGGACATCCACCCACAACAGGAACCAAACGTGTAAGTGTTTGTGAGGGTCAAACCTCTTCAGGATGGAAGTAGCAGATTCCCTCTCTCGTGGGGTCCCCCTCTCCTTTCACTTTTGATCCATCATAGAGAAAGAAATAAGTACACCTGCAAAAGATTAATAATATATTTTAATTGAATAGCCCAAGGATTACAAAAGATAAAAGAATGAAGATAAAAATGTAACACCTGTCACACATTAAAAGCAGAGTTAAGAGTTTGAGAAGGGATTTGAAAGTGCAAAGGTCCATGCACTCTATGATATGTTGGAGGAGAGAGTTCCAGAGGGAGGGGCTGTTGTGATGCTCCAGTACATGTGGTGTCAGGTGTAGCAGGAAAAACCCTTCAACCTGGACTGACTGAAGGCAGCGAGCTGAGCTGAGAGTGCTGCTCAATTACTATATCAAGTCAAACTCTGCCATATGTATGGGTCATAGGCTGATCCCCAGACACACATGAGTAGACATATAACCACACATGCTACATACATGTGGCACAACATGTAACTATACAGCGTAGTAGGTGCTTAGGTGCTATGTAAGTACATAACATGTTAAGTACTAAAGTAACATATATGTACACAACATAGTATGCAGTGAAAAGTCACAGGATAGACAGGATATGAGTAGTGCAATAAATTAAGCAGTGAAAATACTTTGTCCATCTACAGGATGAGTAAAATACCAGCAGATGTAGTAAAAAAAAGCAGCAGATGTAGTAGAATAGTGGCACATGTAGTTAAATAGCAGTAGATGTAGATTAATAGTAGCAGATGTAGTCAAATAGTGGCAGATGTAGTAGAATAGCAGCAGATGTAGTAAAATAGCAGGAGATGTAGTAGAATATTGGCAGATGTAGTAAAATAGAAGCAGATGTAGTTTAATAGCAGCAGATGTAGTAAAATAGTGGCAGATGTAGTAAAATAGAAGCAGATGTAGTAAAATAGAAGCAGATGTAGTAACATAGCGGAAGATTTAGTACAATAGTGGCAGATATAGTAGAATATTGGCAGATGTAGTACAATAGA